GAAATAATCTATGCACGCTCAATTTGGATGAATGGGCCAGGTTTGCAAACACAAGCCTGATCCACTTTAATCTTTGTTGTATCTTTGGGCAAAGGTTTTTATGACTGTTGGTAAATTGGAGTTTGGAGGGAAAAGAAAAGGAATAAGGCTGGGAGAAAGTTAATATGCTATGGAGAAGAACTTGTCCGAATTTACATCTCTATATTTTCCTATTTACTTGAATAGCTTGAGGCCAATGTTGTCTTCAGAGGCCCATTTCCAGTATCTCTCACAAGGGAAATGAGGAGGGTGATTGCAACATAAGGGGTCTTTGTTTATAGAATGCGCCCCACACACACATTGAAGCATGCCTGATACTCATGTTAATATATTTTTACCCATAGTCAAAGACTTTCATTTTTTCCCAAGCATTTATCATTTTGATTCAGCTTAATTTTAGATGCCTGCTCAATAGCAGTATATTGACTCTGTGTTTTCTGTGCTATTAACTGCAATGTATAGTTCCTTTGCCTCCCTCTTTGTAATGTTTTAGAAACATTTGATTAAATAATGTTGTAATCTTCCATTTCAAGCATCCTCCTCCTCCTCCTCCTCCTCCTCATTTAGGAGACCTTTAGTAAGAGGGCTCCTCTCATTCGATTCCTTTACCGTTGTTTTTGTTTTATTACATGTTGGTCAAAGTTAAAGCATTAACACTGACAGAATATTGTTAATTCACCATTAGCCCTGTTGAATTTAAGCAGAATTAGTCCCAGGTAAGAATTCATCCAATTGCAGTTAGAGATTCTCCGTTCGATCAGACTCAATAGCTCCCAACTTCCACTTGCAGAGCAACATCAGTATCATCCCAACCACTGGACATAGCTCAGTCCAATCCTATGCACATGGACACCCCATTACATTCAACCAGACCCCCAGTTCAAGGGGTCCCCAATTCAGCCCTTGGCATATCCCTGGACTTGGATAAATGCTTCCCAGTCAGCAAAAGGAGGAATGGTCTGACTGGTGTAAGGCAGCTTTTTATGTTCCATGCACATATTGAGGGTCATTCTGGGTACACTTCTGCCCTTCTCCTGCAAATTCATTGTAACATTTGAAAAAGGCTTAAGTGTGCACAAGTGGTTTTGTGTTCAGACCCAGTTTACCCAGAGGCCATATGAAGTTTACCCATATATGTATATGATGTTTCTGTAAGGAGGGGCTTGACTTAGTTTCTTCTGCATTTGCAGCAGCTTGTTCCTAGTGCTCTTGAGAAGAAAATCAGATATTTTGTGAGATCTAAACTGATGCAATTACTTTTTTATTTTTCCATTATGGGCACAGAGTTTGGGGAGAATTTGCATATACAGTATCACTTCCACTTTCCCTTCTCTTTGCTGTATCTTTTTCCCCCAATCATTTATTATTATCTCAAGAAAAAAGAATAAAGCTTCTGTAGAATCTTAATTACAAAAGTTGAATTGACCATGAAAACACTATACAGGCTTAACACTGTGTACAAATAGAGACATTTCCCCCTCCTCCAAGGGATGGGGTGGGGGTAGAAGTATATAAAATCTCATATATGGGAGCATGACCTAAATAACGTGCATTTCTCTGAGAGCTTCAGGCAACGTGATTTGTATATACCATTCTGATAGATTTTAATTACAACAGGTAATTAAATGCCATGTCTGAAAACAGAACTTGATATGAAATGTAAAGCCGTGCCTGCTTTAATCCATGCACACATTCCATATTCCTTGATTGTTGATCGAATAGAGGGAAAAATGCTACTGCATCCTTTTGCATCCTGAGGTTAATGGCCAGATGGACTCCCCTGTTGACTGCTTGGCTATCTCTTGGAAATATGGTCCATTTTTGTCATTGGAAAGAATAGGATTTCTAAGAGTGAAAAAGATAGAATGGACAATTTTAGTTGGTGCCCATGTTCACCCATCCCCTCCCTGATTATCTACTAGGCTTCAGAGTCAGAAGAAAGGATGGCCCTGTGAGAGGTGTCCACCTCTGCCTTTCTCTGGGCTTTTTATAGGGTGGGTGGGTGGCTTCCTGAAAGGTGGATCCCAAATCCAGCCGCAGCTGCCCCACTAAACACATCTG